ACACGGATGACTTGGCAGTACTTCTTCATGCTGCTGAAGTCCTTCTCCAGCTGCTTCTTGCCATCCTCATCCTGCCATTTCTTGCAGTACTTGGTAAAGGCCTTCTTCTTAGATTTATGCCAGTTCTTATAGAAACGCCTCTTGCATTCATCACCGATGTGCTCAGCGAAGACAGTCTTGAAGGTTCGGAGGCCTCGAGGGGTTTCCACGTAGCCTGCAATGCCCACAACCACCATGGGTGGCATCTCCACAATGGTTACAGCCTCCACCACCTCCTTCTTGTTCACCTTCTTGTAGATCCTGGCCTGTCGACTTCCCGCACGATGTGGGTCATGCCAGCCTTGTATCCCAGGAAGGCTGTGAGGTGGACCGGCTTAGACGGGTCATCCTTAGGGAACCTCTTAACCTTCCCACGATGCCTGCTGCTGCGCTTCCAAGGCAGGAAGCCGAGGGACCCATGTCTGGGAGCAGAGAACTTTCTGTGAGACATCACGCCATCAAATCCCACCAGTAGCGAATGCTTCATATATTTCTAATTATCTCAAGAGCCCTGGAGGTGATATTTCTGTTTTACAGGAGAAAAACATATTATGCTAACTTACCCCAGATCATTCTACTTATAATCAGTAGCACTGATCTTGGAACACAGCACTGTCTGCTTCAAAGACTACCTCTTTCAGAGTTTCTTTCTTTTTTTTTTTTTTTTAAATCAACTTTTATTTTAAGTTCCAGGGTACCAGTGCAGGATGTGCAGGTTTGTTACATAGATAAATCTGTGCCATGGTGGTTTGCTGAACGGATCAACCTATGACCTAGGTACTAAGCCCAGCATCAAATTAGCTATTCTTCCTGATGCTCTCCTTCCACCTGGCCACCCCTGCGACAGGCCCCAGTGTGTGTTGTTCCCCTCTATGTGTTCATGTATTCTCATCACCAGCTCCCACTTATAGGTGAGAACATGTGGTGTTTTTGTTTGTTTGTTTGTTTGTTTTGTCTGTTTGTTTCCATGTTAGTTTGCTGAGGATAATGGCTTCCAGCTCCATACATGTTCCTGCAAAGGACATGATCTTGTTCCCTTTCGTGGCTGCATAGTATTCCATAGTGTATATGTACCATATTTTCTTCAACCAGTCTATCACTGATGGGCATTTAGGTTGATTCAACATCTTCAGTATTGTAAATAGTGCTACAGTGAACATACACATGCATGTATCTTTATAACAGAATGATTTATTTTCCTTTGGGTATATACCCAGAAATGGGATTGCTGTGTCAAATGATATTCCAGATCTTTGAGGAATTATCACACAATCTTGCAAAACGATTGAGCAAATTCACATTCCCACCAATAGCATAAAAGTGTTTCTTTTTCCTTGTAACCCCACCAGCATCTGTTGTTTCTTGACTTTTTAATAATCACCATTCTGACCGGCGTGAGATGGTATCTCATTGTCATTTTGGTTTGTGTTTCTCTAATGATCAGTGATGTTGAGCTTTTCTTCATATGTTTGTTGGTTGCATGTATGTCTTCTTTTGAGAAGTGTCTGTTCATGTCCTCTGCCCACTTTTTAATGGTTTTTTTTTTTAATTGTAAATGTGTTCAAGTTCCTTGTAGACTCTGGATATTAGACCTTTGTCAGATGACTAGATGGCAAAAAATTTCTCCCATTCTGTAGATTGTCTGTTCATTCTGATGATAGTTTCTTTTGCTGTGCAGAAGCTCTTTAGTTTAATTATATCCCATTTGTCAATTTTTGCTTTTGTTGCAGTTGCTTTTGGTGTTTTCATCATAAAATTTTTGCCCATGCCTATGTCCTGAATGGTATTGCCTAGATTTTCTTCTAGGGTTTTTATTGTTTTGGG